CAGCCAGGAGCCGTCCGTGTAAGCTACGATCAAGAGTGTAAGTGGAGTTATTGGCGCTAGCTAAAAGAGAGGATTCAACTGAATGGTAGAACTCAGAGGTTCGGGAAAAGTCGAGCTTAGGTTCAGCCCGAACACATGGTGAAGAGAGGAAAGAACTGGAGTAAGAAAAGAGAAGGGGAAGATGACGGGCGTTAATGAGTTGCTGAAAATGCGATCCTTTGAATTGGAAGTCGCAAAAGATGGGGTGGGTAATGGAAGCGAAATCAACTGTAGTGCAATCTGTGACTGAGAAATCATCCAGGTGATCAGTGGTAGTGGTCATTTCCTTATAGGAGACTAACTTAGATGAAGGCAAATCGGAAAATGCTTGGGGGAGAAGGAGGAGATGAGACTGCATAAATTCCATCAAAAAGACAGCGTTGTCCCTATCTGGATCTGGAATACTTTGCCTTTTGCCCCAGACATGGGGGCCGATGTGGTCTTGATCTGGGTCAAGGGAGGAATCGAGTCTGGAGTTGTAATTCCTAATATAATAAGATGAGAATTACTGTGTTCAGACATGATGGAGTCTAGCTGTGCCCAAAAATGTTCTTTTCTTGCCTGATCCTCAGTGGAGTCTTCAACTGTGCTAGGAGCATAAATTGAGAAGACTGTAACAGGATGTGAGTTGGTTCGAATGGTGATTTCACAGATACGGGGGGAGTGAGCTAAAAAATGATAAGCATGGAGCCTAAGAGAGGGGGAAACCAAAAATCCAACCGCATGATGTTTAGCATTAGAGGCTCCAGAGTGAAGAATTTCCCAACCTGATTTACAGAATGTACTAACTGACTCACATTTAGTTTCTTGAACTGCAAGAAGGTGAAGCTGCTTAGAAGTCAAGAAGGAGAGAATCTGATCATATTTAGCTGTTTCTCTTAAGCCCTCCACATTCCATGTCGCCAATTGTAGAGGGAATCCTGTGGGAACTGGAACTGCAGCGGGCTTTTCTACATGTCTGAGCTGATTATAACCTTGAGGAAATCTACGGGATTGCGATATGAACCTATGTTGCGCTGCTGGCTTTGGACAAATCAGGGGATTAGGATTCTGATCTCCGTGCGTCCGCAGGGAGGAATCCTTGCATCGAGATTTCCATTGACGAAAGTCCCTTCGAGCTTCTTGTTGTTTAGATTTACGGGAGGATAATCGTCTAAGGTAGGAGGATTCTGATCTGTATCCTCGGGAGGTTCTCCTGAGAGCGCGTTGATCTTGGTAGCCGCCTTGGACCGAATGGGTCGGAGCTGTCTGTGATACTGGAAAATCGGTCATAATGTAAATGTCGTCGCTGTCGTCAATATTGTAAATGTCGTCATGACCCAGTGGGTCATCATAATGTAAATCGGTCATACTGTAAATCAGCTGTTGGTACCCTTGGCTCTGAGCGGAGCCCTGTTGGGTACTTGCCTTCCAAGATCTTCCATAGGCATGGAGGTAGGTCCAGCGGCTTCCCGGCCCGCCCCCTCTGGAGGCGATCGATCGTAGCATGATCCCATATAATCTAAGGGAGGAAGGCCTGTCCGTATCAATTTCGAAACTACGACCTCTTCGATAATACTTCAACCAGAGCTTATTCTTGTTATAAAAGGAATAATCAAAAACAACCATACCATTGGGTAAAGGGAAAGAGGGTCTTCCATAATGTTGATCGAGACTTCGGGGTGTAGATCTCAAAACACACATAACTGCCATTAAGGGAATGGATTAGCTTGTTCAAACTCTTAGAAGCAAAACCTGTAAACTTCATTCGCTGCTGGATGGTTTTGGGCTGTTGGAAGCTAAACAGATCCTTGCAAAAATTGGCCCTGGGGTATTTAACAAAAGGAAGAACTTTGCAAGATCTGTGAGTGGCTCTCACTTGTCTGGGTGAAAAGTTGATTGCTACAGCTACGCTTGCTAAAAAATCTGAACTGTGCGCGGCTTTGTACACACTGTATGTACAAGGGGCAGAGCCCACAAGAGTCTTGCATTGTAAGGAGGAAAGCAAATGGTGAGACTTGAATGTTGTAAATCGGATGGTGAAGGGGATATATCCCCAAGCACATAATGTAAATCTTTCCATTGGTAAATCTTTCTCCCATCTAGGAGTCTTCCAGGGGAAGGAGCATTCCATTGCCTGGAGAGTGCATAATGTAAGTGGTTTGATGCTTGGACTCTGAGGCCCAGAGGCATCTAATGTAAGTCGTTCCATTGGTAAGTCTTCTTCCAGTAGGAGTTCACTCATGAGGAATGAGCACTCCAATGGCTTGAGCTCTGATAATGTAAATCGTGTGATGCTTAGGCTCACCAGCCCAGAGGCATCTAATGTAAATCTTTCCATTGGTAAATCTGAAGTGGGACAATTGGTGTCCCATACGGAGATCCCCATATGTTGGAGTGAAGCCGAGCTTGAAGAATCAGCTATTGATAGCCACCTGGGTCAGTCGGTGACATAGGGGTTAAGAAAAAAGTAAGATTGCCCTTTGTAAGAGAGTTGCATGCAAATCCAGGACATTACCCATACCAAGGAGTGAAAACCATGCTCTGACAAAATCAATGCTAATGACTCTATGCTATTGCCTTTATTATTCCAAAGTCTGCCTAAGTACTGATCTCGATGGGAACAGAGGGCTACTGGGGGAGATAGCATAAAGTACTTGATCATCTGAAAATTTTTCTACTTTGGAATCAGGTCCTAGACGGATAGTGTCAACCAGTGTCGGGGAGTCAGACTTAGCGACCTGAGATGCTTCTGCTTTTGCAGTCAAGAGCCCTGGTGGCTGCTCGGTGGAGGCTGCCGAGTCAGTGGGCGCAGTTGGGGTAGCTGCTGGAGGTGGTTCGGATTTGGCGGCTTCCGTTGCCATTGCTGCAACAAAGGAGGCTAACTTATTTGCAACTATGATGAAATTATAAGGACAAAACAACTGCAAAATGAGAAGAAAGTAGCAAAGGGACGATGAAACCCCTATAGGCCTAGTGTGTTGGAAGAAAGTACGACATATGTGTAAGGCCCAGAAAGCGAAGCAAAAGGGATCGGCTACCGCTCTGAGCCGAGCAATAATGATACTAATAATATTTAATCATAAGTATTTAGAAAAGAAGCCATTAGGAACAGCACCCGCAGGCCCAGAGTCGCTCATGATGAGCTGAACAATCAGACTTCAGTGGGAATCCCAAAACAGGGAACCCCGAGAATATAGTAGAAATACAATACGAATATGAGGATCCTGGTAGGTATATTAAAACCCTTTCGCTGGAGGTGCATGAGACCAACTCCCAAGCCCCCTGATGTCTTCTATGTGTACTGAACTTCCACTGCTGTTGAACAGGTTCTAGGCATAGTCTCCCTTGTAGCTACCTCTACTGGGAGCTTTCCGCATCTTGAAACTCCTTTCATGAAAGCGGCCGCGAAAAGTACCACACTGGTAGGATACTATTTAAAACTCACTTGGAAAGGGCATTTCCAAAACTAGGGGTCCCATCACTTACCCCAGAAATCGGTGATCCTTTTCCGGGAGCCTCACCAAAAGGGGACTCCCATTCTTTCTGGAAATCCCTTTATTCAACAGCATGCAGAGCTCCAAGCCCTGTCCACGCGCTCAAAGATCCGGGTCACAGCAGGGGGCATCACCATCGCCCTTTGGGCGTGCCTCAAGGGAATCGTGCAAAGTATCTTCCGAGCATTCGGTGATCATGAGACAGTATGGGGATGATTATAGCTAGAAGAGTTTGTGCAGTGAAGGGTTGTGTCTGGGCATCATTCCTTGAGTCATGCACTGACTCTGTAATTTGGAAATTATGCATTGATCGGCCTATAGACTTGCAAGAGGCGGCTATCTTGTACAAAGCATGTGCTTGATACTTGTCGTCATGGACACTTTGTCCGGCAGAGCCCCAAAATAAGCCTCAGGTTCAGGCGTTGGTGACTCTGCTGTCCGCCCCTTGTCCATGCCACCCTTTAAGTCAGGATGGATTCAGCGGCCATTTTCTAGACTAGCTAAACACAACCTGAGCAAACCGGCGACGGAAAGCAAATGGTACCTGATGGGCGAATGCAGTGACATGCACTGTGATTGCTCTGATCTGGTTGCATCTTGTTTTGCTGGAGCATTGCACGAGGATAAGGTTGGACAATGCTGATCATCTTGCAGCATGGAAGATGCCAATGTCTGTGGGCACCACGCGATAGGGAGATGCAGCAAGACTTGCAGGACTCTGGCATCACTACTTTGCCCTTGAGCTTCGCCAGGGCATCTGCCAAGCTTTCCACAGCCATGATGGGTTGAGGAACCATGGCCGGGGGCGCTGCCATCATAAAGTGAGAATCCTAGATTCCTCGATTATGTACGCACATATGTTCATGCTGCTGAGTGTGCCTGCCAAAGCACATCGCGAGTAGGGCCTTTCATTCAAGAAGCGATGGATGCAAGGCACTGTCCTGGTGCTAACGGAATCAGGCTTCTTGAGCAGCAGCATGCGCAGATCAGAAAGAAAAGGCTAGACCTTTGCAAAAATGTATCTGGGAGACCCTCACGAGTCAATGTACTTCCACGAGCTTTTGGCAATCGCTTTCCACAAGGATCGTGCTTCGGGGTTGGACAAAGCCGCGAGTTGGACAAAGCCATTAATCGCAGTATCTTTGATGCTGCGGTGAGGGCCCGGCTTTATTGCCAGGGGACTGTGCGTGCAAGAGGGAGAAACGTGCGCAAAGAAGCATGGCGGAAGGCCTTGTTCGGCTCCCAAGCTTCCGAATTATGGTGGCCACGAGGCTCGCCTTTAAACGGCTTGCAGGCAGAGCTCTTGATAGGTGATAGGTTCTTCTTTTCCACCTACGATCCTGAAAAATCAGCGCACCCAGCCTGCAAGGGTAAGTGTATCCTACAGAGACAAATGAGACAAGAAAGACGGTCGTCTAGCTTCAATTACGGCCAACTTGGAATGCGTAGTTGCATGCCAGTGGTCTGTTTCGACCATCAGAGCTTTCACTTGCTGAGCTCAATTCTCAGAGCTTTAAAATAGTTTCTCTCGGAGTCATCAGACTCACCATTTTCGAACAAGAAGTACGCACGCTTCAGGACACGCTCTTGCAGACTCGGCGCCAAGCCGCGTTCATGCATTTTCCTTGCGAACTCCTCCGTGACCTGGGCCAGGTCCGACATGACAGCGGAGTCACAACGCGTTGATGCTAAAGCTTTTGTTGGGCCTGCATACTGGTTCTAGTACAAGTGCTTGCACTACCAGTTCTAATTCATGCTGCTGCTGCGGCTGCGGTTCCAGCGACTTCTGCTGCTGCTGCTGCTGCTGCCGCCGGCAGCCCGTGCTACCACCAACACCGCCACTCTCCACATTTTCTCTGCTACTGCTACAAGTGCTGCTGATGCTCCTTCTATTGCCAGAAGCCCTTCAGTTCGTGGTGCAACTGCTGCCAGAACAACAACTGCAAAAAGAGAAGAACGCCACCACCGCCACCACAATCACACCGTCACACTGTCACAACCACATCCACAATTCGACTAAAACAGCGACTACGACGGCCACGACTCCACGACCACAGCCAGCAAACCAACACCGCGGTCAACGCTTCAAACAGCAGTAACCACCCGTGTCAATGCCACCAACACCAGCACCAGCACCACCACCCATGAACACAAGACCCGCCACAGCCACAACAGCTACCAGCTCCAGAAAAACCACCGTGACCATCACAATGCTATTATTATGGCTGAAGCTGAGACAGCATTCAACTGCAGGCTGACCCATGGCCTTCCTGGAAGCTTTGACATGTGTCATGTTTTGCTCTGGCACTCTGAAACTTCTGATCAGAGCTGCTCTTGTCCGAGTCAAGCTACCAGGCCCCTCTCCATGTGCCTTCTCTTGTTGTTTATCTTACATTCTGCCACATCCAAAACACTGGATACTCGCCCTGTCTTTTCTCCTTGCCCTTCGTGTTTGTCAAGTTGTGGTAGTCTTGCATGGGACTCAGGCCCCCACTATGTTCTAGCTAGTGGCACAGTACACACAGCAAATCAAACTTGAGTCTGTCATCAGTATAGCCAAGCCACCTCCACAGGTTCCCTGTTCGCGGGTGAGGACGAGGAAACGTGGTCGGGCTCACCATAGGCCTTCCCTATGTCGCCGGAAGCCGTACTTGATGAGTCACCACCACCGCTGCTTGTCGATGTGCGAGTGCTAGAGGAACCCTTGCGGGACTTTTTCCCCTGCTTGTCATGCTTCCCGTGCTTTTTGGCGGGCCTGCCATCATGCCCTGTGCTGTGCTGATGGCTTTCAGCCACGCTGCTGTGCCCTTGCTGGACATCCTGGTGGTGGTGCGCATCCGGACTGTGGAGATTGGATTGCGTGTCCGGACTGGTACCGGTCACAGGGGCGGAATTATCTGCCATGAACAAGAAGTTGGAGAGGCTTTGCTTGTGCTGACCGTTCTCACTTTGCACTGGGATCGCAGCCGCCTGGCTTGTCATGTTGGTACTAGGAGGCTTTGGCGAATCACGCGGTTGCTCGCCCTCGTTGAGGAAGACAAGGAAGTCAGAGAAGGTTGAGCTCTGGACAGGAGCTGGTTTGGAGCCTGAAACGGTTGGCATGGCCGACGATGCGTTGGATGATGCTGCGCTCATGGACGTTGTACGCGTTGTGGGAGGACTCGCAGTAAGCTTGCTGGGATGTTTTGCTGCCCCTGCTGACTTTGACGACTCTGCGTGCACTGCGGAATCATCATCAGACGACAAGCGTGAAGGATTAGGGCTGATGTCCCTTTGCTCGACAGCATCCGAGAATCTGACCGTCTTCTGCTCTCGTGGTTTGTTGCCATCCTTGAGGAGAATAGCAGGCGGCATCAAAGGTTGGGTTGAACCAGTTGCCTGGCCCATGGAGTTGTAGGAAGCAGCTGCTGAGCCTGACGTGGTCTTCAGTGTGACTTCTGCCACGGGCTGGAATTGGCTGGTTCCTGCCTGGCTGCTTTCCAGCGATGTCCGGCTCCATGATACTTGGTACTTCATGGCGGGGCCGTCCTCTTGTGATGGGCTCGCCGCGAGGTTTTCCATACCAGGTCTCTCTCTCTGCATTTTTGGACACTCATCTGCCTTGCTCAGATCGGTCTGGGAGACAGGGCGGCTGCTCAGGTCGGCCTGAGAGACGGGGCGGCTGCTTTCGATTGATGTCCGGGTCGATGGCGCTGGGTGCTTGGCGGTGGGGCCTTGCTGTTGCCTCGGGCTCACCTTGAGATTTTCCGTAGCCGAGGTCGTGCCAGCAGGTGTGGATTGCAGATTTGGATAGCCATCTGCCGTCTTCTGTGTGCTTAGGTTAGCCTTGGCGACTGGGCGACTGCTCAGGTCAGTCTGGGAGACTGGGCGGCTGCTCAGGTCGGCCTGAGAGACGGGGCGGCTGCTTTCGATTGATGTCTGTGTCGATGGCGCTGGATGCTTGGTGGTGGGGCCTTGCTGCTGCCTTGGGCCCACGCTGAGATTCTCCGTAGCCAAGGCCTTGCCAACAGGTGTGGGTTGCAGATTTGGACGGCCATCTGCGGTCTTTTCTGTGTTTACATCGGCTTGGAAGTGGGTGGGAGCTGGCTGGCTTTCCAATGGTGTCCGGCTCCAGGTCGCTTGATGCCTCATGGTGGGGCCTTCCTCTTGTGATGGGCTTACCGCGAGATTGTCCGTGGCCGCGTCTTTGCCAGCAGGTGCCAATTGAGTCATGGGACGGTCTTCCGGGTCCTCCACCGTGCCGAGGTCGCTGATGCTGCCTCTGCGCTTGGCCATGGCAGCTTTGCTGGTTCCATCAGGCAAGTCCCCTGTGGATGCTGGTCGCGTGCGAAGAGATTTGGAGGCTGCTTGTGTGTTTGGCTGGACAGGGAACAGCAGTGAACACTCTTCCGCTGCCATGCTCGTCGGCTTTGGATCCATGCTTGCACTTTCTGGCGAAGGGTCACTAATAGGACTAAGTGTGCGCGGGTTTGGGCTGATGTCCCTTTGCTCGACCACATCAGAAAAGCTAAGAGTCTTCCTTGGCCCGGGTCCATTCCTTCGGCTCGGGTTGGACAAGATGGAGTTAGCAGACGCTGCAGCTTTTAATGGCTTTGGTTTCGGCAACGGTTCCAAAGCCACCTGGGCCATCTGAGTGCTTTGCACAGTGGTCCCTGGGTGCGCTGACGCCTCGTGCTTGATGCTGGCTGACATGTCCTTGGATGGGCTGGGGCTCTTCGAGCAGGAGACGCTTCAAAATGCACAGCATAACAGCATGGTTCCACATGCATATCACTAGCAGTTACTGGCATGGTAGTTGGGCCTAGGGCCTACGTCTAACGAGCCGCACACACTGGCACACCTTCACTAAGACTGTTCTGACGCATGTTGCTGCTTGCCGAGTCTGTCAGTGCGAGCCTTTTACACCAGCACCATCTGAACCATGCTAGCTTCCCATTAGGCTACAAAATTAGCACGTTCAGATCGTGTTTTCAACACGTAAAGCAGCTGCTAGATATTGCTAGATGTTAGATCCTGGCAACCAACCCTGAAGCCCTGGTATGTCGTAGACTATGGGATAATTTCCCTATATACAAATATGAAAAAATGTATATCCCCACGCGCGCCCTTTCAAGGGACCTAGGGTTTCCATTTCAATGTTCATTGTATTCTCCATTTAACTTCCCATTCTATCGTAGGCAAGGGGCATTCTTTGCCACTAGCTCCGGTTCTGCTTCTGCAGCACGCTTGTGAACCGGCACTGCTGGGACCGTGAAATTTGCCGGCATGCTGGCCACATTGGCCACATTGTCAACCTTGTCCTTGTCTGCCGGTTTCACCTCTGTAGCCTCTGCAGGCTCCTCTTCTGGTTCTGGCGTCTTCTGTGGTGCCAAGCGGCACAGCTGCTCCCTCCACCCAGGATACATCTCGTCAGCATCCTGTGGGAAGGTCATGAAGGCACCCTTCAGCTCGTCGTGGGTCTTGGCAAACTCAACGATCGCCTCACTCAAGCTCATGCTGCCGTAGTCGCCGGACTTCCATGCCTTCCAGGCCTCCCCACCTTGAATGCAAGCGATGGCACCGCTTTCTGGGCCGTCCATGTGGTCGCAGTAGCCGCTTGTTTCTGTCATGATCACGTTTGCATGGCCCAATTTCTCAAACACCGTTGGCAGGCGCAAAGCGTTTGTGTTGCTGGAGATCACGACAGGAGTGTCCGGCTCCGCCTTCACGGGAAGGCCTGGAGCCTTTGCCTTTGCAGCCACGTTCTCGTTGGTCACAGCACTTGCAACCTTGGCAGTAGGCTGCGCCACCAGGTTCGCGGCCACGTTCTCGTTGGCGGCATCGCTCTCCATCTTGTCCAGGCTCTTGGCATCAGCTTGCTGGCAAAACCCCTCGATGACTTCCGAGAGCTTGGTTTGCACAAAGTCTGTGTACCCAAGCTGGGCGTCGGGGGTGCTAGCGCTGTCCAACTGGATCTGCATTTGGACGGCTGGGGATTGATCACGAACACTGGAAGGACTGTAGTCGCCATAGAGGTCGACCAAATTTGCACCAGTCCTGAACGGGGAGTCAAACTGAGACATGACGTACCGGCCACAGGCCGCCACGGCGGGATCCTGGGCGTTGTCATGGGTGGCAAAGATCAGCGGGATTTCGCTCGTTCCAAGTGCCTTCTGAGCACTTCCTCCCTGCCAGGACAAGTAGCCAGCCTCATGGAAAGGCTTGGGCTTCAGCGCGCCGCGAGACGGTTTGCCACCCTCCGTGGTGCCCCTGCCCAAAATGGACCACATATCCTCAATCTGCGGGCCATCTGCCCTTCGGAGGAATGATGGGGGCAGGTAGAAACGCTCCACGCGGCTGTACTCAACATCATCCTTGCCTGAGCTGCTAACAGGCATGATACGGCATTATCATGATCAGTACTTGTTGAAACCCTCACGATGGGTCATGCACCAAACCCACCAGCTGAGCATGAGACCCTGCTTGAAGCGCACAGACTTGAAGCGGCGATCCAAGATGTTGCTGAACAAATGCTTGGGAAAGGCAAGCTTGACCATCTTCTCACCAGGATTGGTGTAGTACAACATGGCATCCGAAGACTTGTCCATGCGATCAGCTTCGCGCAAGTGTGCCTTAGCGCTAGCAGACACCTCGGTAGCAAAGCGGGCCGCTGTCGCCGAATAGTCGCAGCCTGCCTTCGGCTTCATGGTGTAGGTGACGAGCACATGCTTTCCGGTCCTTGCTCAGCAGACGCTCTGAACTTTCATGCGATTCTGGTTGCCGTGCCCTAGCCCTACAATTACATAAACATGCTGTGTGCTCTCTGCTTCGTCAGCCAAGTC